CAGTCGTGGCGCCAGGTTAGAAAGACTACAGAGAAGAGAGTGCAATGTAGGCGTGCTACTGAATTCCTATGCTCCACTAGGAACACAAGCGAAAAATAATAATACCGTTGGATGCCTACCAGGCAGTCGCACATCTCAGTAATTCCACAAATGATTTATTGTTTCATTAAAGAATATATCCTTATCACATATAAGGCAACCTATATGTACAGTTAATGTTGTACGATCGATCACCACACCACACCTCCTTCTTCTACTCTCATCTTGATTTGAACCAGTAGCGAATATCAGAGCTTGTCTTAACAAATTAACCTCGAATTCTTTCTTCGATGTATTAATTAATTGATCGTTATTTCAGTTATATTATTTTGTAGATAACTTTGATTATGGCCTTTATGATTAATTGTTCAATTGTGATGAACATAGAGAGTCACGTGAAGTTACGTTTTTACGCGTCTCTGTGTATGTGTGTGTATGTGTATGTTAGCACATCCAGGGAATAATAGCCGCAGCAACAACAACAACTCTTTCATGAATCATATGATCATTAGTAATCTATACAAAACTAGACAATATCAGCTGTAATAATACTTCCAGTCAAGGTTACTTGGAATGTGACTATTTTTCAAGCATAAAACACCAACTAATCAATAGTTCAGTTGATGAAATCTAATATTGTTATAGATTGTCCACATATTATTGTTATTAAACTATATTTTGACTTTGGAATGCAGTGGTGTTGATGAAGTCTGTGAATGCCTGTGTGTGTGTGTGTGTGTGTGTGGGGGTCATCTTTAAGATGATATATGGAACTCGATGGATAATTCCTACCTTGACATAAATGGGTGGGCTGGTTTGTTAACATCATACTGTAAATAAGCTACACTATAGCGGTGATGATTCTACAATGAATAGCCTGTATGCGGTTGGATGTAGCTGTAAAGTAGTTCTAATGTGGATAACAAACTATTCAATATCGATATTGTTTTCCGTGAAAGAAAATGGGTTTTGTGTACCGCTAGAACAGTGCGAGTGGTTGACACTTCCTAGCTGTCCACATCATGGAAATTGTGTCTTTACAGAATGCCTAAAAGAGAAGGTTTGTGTAACCAATAGAGCTTATAAGACAGACATCTATTTGAGGACTGTTGCAAACAGCCTTTTGAGGAGTATTGTTTTGAGATTTGGATGTTTTAACACTAAAATAGAAGACTATGGGACAGGGAAAAGTGTGCTATTATGGCGGCTGTTTATTTACTGTTGGTCATTCACGGGAACCACCTTACTGCTGTCACATCACGTCTAGACAACAGTACGACTTTTTCCTTGGACTTCCATCATAGAGTAGCTAAATTACACTATAACAGGAACTGTCTTCCGTTTCGCCACTATCCAACTGACCTTTCTAGCTTGATGTATCTCGTTGCGTCATTATGGTATGCAAGCCTAGCCACCCATGTCAAGTTAGCAGTTGTCTTTTGAAGCATTATAGGCTGACGACCCCCCTTCCCTTACTCTCCTATCGACGGTATATAACCGACCTCAAGCAGATGTCTCTTGGGCTCTGCAGTCACATGCCACGATTACTAATACAGTATCTTTTTCAGGCACTTCAAAAATAAGTAACCTTCAACAGTGTGTGCAACTGACAAGTCTCAACTGTTCCCAACACTTCTGCCAACACTTAAGACATAGAGACTACTTTCTTCAAAAACTTTTGTATTATACATAATATTATGAAAATCATTACAGTGTTGTAGTGTAAGCAAGTATTTTTAAGTGGAAATAAGTTAGTCACATGGTTACAACCAGTTAATCTGTGTAATTAATTTACAGCAATCATAATAGCAAAAATCGATTAAATGTGTGATCAAAGCACTTTTTTTATTAATGGCTATAATCTGTTATTGTCCTTCAAGGACACGATCACATGTGCGGAAAGAAGGTGTTTACTGTCCTACTTTCGGTTATCGATTACCATGTTCTTAGGTTATACTGTGATATCAGATCACTGCACACGCAAGATAGATTTAGATAGATAGTCTAGTAGATAACGTTTTGATGTTCCAAGCGGGTGACCACAGGATTCTAGCTTCTAGTGGAAACAACACCTTACTAGGATGAGGATGCATCCAGCTAACCAGTGCTCCTAATGTGTATAGGAGCTCATCTGTCAATACAGATCGACCAATTCAACTTGGTACAGCATAGTATAGTATCGAAAACATCTATCCCTAAGTTATTACACGACTTTTATCTTAATATTATTTGTCCCTTTGGTTTCAAGTGGAATATAGGGCATCAGTAGGATGTCTCCATTGCACTCTGTTCTCTGCAGTCTTTTCAACCTGACTCCACTACTGTCCATAACCTTTCATTACTTCCTCACACCACAGGTGGGACACCCAACTCGTCGTTTCCCTTTGGATTTCACTCGATGGCCTGGCCTGGCGCGTGATGTCCCCGAACGGTTTTCTCAGTGTACATCCACTTCACTTCAATCTATCTTCACTTTCTTCTACAGTTGTTCTCATGAGTAACTTCATAGGCCAGTTGTAGAAACGACTGAAATCATCTATCAGATTTCTTTATTTCGAATCATAAAATCAAGGAGTTTAATTGGTTATTTCAGTTGTTCTTTCACGTGGTGAATATAATCGGTTACCTACGCTTAAATGGCTTTACACCACTCATTAGTGGATTGTTTTGACCAGTCAGCTAAATTCACCTTCCGACTGAGTAGTAGTAGTCAGTCAACACCGTTTCAACTACAGGCGGCACAGACGAGGACGTCAAAGCCAGACAGGATCGGAAAGACAGCAAGACAGGCGTTCATTAACCTGAAACCAGTGTGGAGATCTTCTGCACTCAGGATAAAGCGTGAACAACATCCGGATTTTCAACACCAATGCCAATCAAGTCAATGCTTCCATATGGTTCAGGAACTCAGCGCGTCACGAAGAGCCCTTCCAACAAACAACAGACATTCATCAACAGCTGCCTACGCTGGCTCGTTACTGAAGCTCAGATGGCCAGAATAATAAGAATAAACAACAAGGAAGTCTGGCCTGCTAACAGACCAACCAAGAATCTCTCTCTTGGCAAATATGCAGAAGGAAATAGATTGGGCATACACTGAAAAGGCCGACTGGGGACATCGCGCGCGAGTCCAGTCAATCGAGTGGAACCCAGATGAGAAACGACGAGTTGGATGTCCCAGGTGAGGGTGACATAGAGGAAATCGTGTGAGGAAGAAATGAGAGCTTGTGGACTGTCGTGGAGCCCCAGGTTAAAAAGATTGCAGAGAAGAGAGTGGGATGGAGACGTGCTATTGAAGCCCGATGTTTAACAAGGAACCCAGGGGACAAATGATAATAATAATGTGACTTTAGTAGCCTTAGGGTCGAAATCACTCCTATTCATAGCCCTGATGACTCCTTCAATAATAAGACTGTTAATCATTAGTGAATAAATGTGTTCCTTGATGTGATATGTACTACTACTGGTCAGTTATAAAGTAGTAGGCTTTATGCATTTATTGTAGTATACTAACCTACACCATAATACAATATCTTCGGTATATACTTAAAAATTCATTGTGTTATGGTTGTTCTTTTTTCGAAATGGTTCTTTAATAGGCACACTTCTCTGAATTTACTACAGTGGATTATTTATATTTCAGCTACTATCAGATTGCGATAATACTCACGTAGTACACTCATCAATCTTGTGCAGTTGCCAGTGAGCCACGCCCTCACCTTTTGTGTGAAGGCTAATTATCCTATTACTTGGCAATGAAGAAGATGTCAGTGTAGATGGAGCGGTGCTGGAACTCGTGACCCATTGGTTAAAAGTCATCTGCCTTAACTAATGAACCAACAGCTCCAGTATAACATTGTATATGTTAAATGTGACGTTACGCGAAACCGCTGACCGACTTCGTCTTCGTGTTAGAGACAACTGACGTCAATATTATGTCTTTTACTAGTTCTTTCTGACTCTTAGAAGTTGATTTCCAACAAAACTGCCCATTCGATAGCTGCTACCTTGATGTAGTGGTCCCAACAAGCTATGCTGGTTGAACGCTTCTTCCCTAAAGGTCCTACCATACTAGAAAAATTTGTTGGATAATGGTTAGATAAAAAGCAGTTAACATCATAGCGTAAATTGGTAAGGTATGATTGCATTAAGGTTTCTCCCTTTAATGACCAGCAATGCCAGTCTAATGCTATCTTCCTTATGGGAAGGGGGGGGGTAGGTTGGAAAAGGTCGATCCCACCCACACGTCACGTTGATACCTGCATCATGGGTTCGAATTCCAAAGGGGAAAAAACCAAAATCTCAAACTTGCCAAAATGCCATGCATGACTGGGCTCTGCAATCAAACGCTATCCCATTTTTTCCATACACCTCAGGAAGAACTAACTTTCCACGGTGCGCACAGCAAAGAAGTATCAATCACCCTCACGCTTCTAATGCTTCTGTACAATCAAACTTTGATCCAAGTTTACAAAAAATTTCCTCGTCCTACTCAGCAGTGCGTAAACATAACATTGGCAAGACGGTAGCATTCAGTCACCGGGTTGAAGTTCTATGATCCACATCTTTCTACGTCTGTCAGTTTGCGATATGGCGCACCATCTCTACCCAATACTCGTGTTAAGTACCTTTCCTTAAAAATATCATTTGTCGCCCATAGATGATGAAGTTTGCATTTTGTGTAGGCACAAATACTGTTGTCATATGCGTTATTGGTGTATTCCATAAGATTAAATGTATGCTTCGAGAGGATCATTCTACGTTGGTATTGAGTGTATCCACAAATCAGTATCAGACTAAATCTTACTGCCTGGTCCTTCCTCTCTCCCCTCCCTCCACCCATATATATATATATATATATATATATATATATATATATATACATATATATACTTGTATGTGCTTGCCAAGTATTTCTACTTCGTCTACTTTCAAATCCTTGTTTATCTTACCGTTTTTAGGAAGAATATCGACTATGTTCAAGCATTGCTAAATCTGTCTGAAAGAGGCTTATATTCTGATATCTACCGATTACTTAAACAGGCATTCATTCTATGCCCAGATATTCTGACAGCCACCTTACTTGAAACGGTAAGTGTTTAATAACTTTGAAATGTAACAAATATCTATAACAGTTTAAAAGGTGAAACATTTCAGCGAATACATCTTTTCGTTAAGAGTCATCCAGTAAAAAATATAAACACACATCGACTGGTTGCATTATCTCCATATGTGTGATGCTTAGGGCGAAATAAAGTGTGTTTAAAGACAGAAACTGAAAAGACCTTCGGAAAATCACATATTCCTTAAGATTTTCTCCGCTTTTCATTTGTTAGAATGAGAATAGTTTGTATAACATTTTCATTTTTACTTCACTGTCTACTTATATGTTCACAAGTAGTTTGTAATTTACCTAAACAGATTTTTAAGTCCCATGCATACTTGGAAGTTTGCAGGCGGATGTCTGGTGAAAACAGAAGTTTCATGTTTTGATTTATCACCTTAATCAACGCACAGACTGGTTATTATGTATATTAAGTGTTAAAGAAGCGTGTTTGTTGAAAAAGTTTGTTCAAAATTAATGAATCTTCATAGACATCAGCCTAGTGTTTCAGTGGTGATGTTACGAGTGCCTACTGCTAGTCATCAGTAATAACGTCTCACAACATTGACAATCCATCTTCAAACTCATTGAAAGATAATAATAATGATTTCATTTCGAAAGATACCCAACCAACAACAACAAACACCAATCACCATGAAGGGAGAAACTTAAAGGAAGTAGGCTCTTTCACCTATCTAGGTAGCAGTGTTTCAACTATAGGCGGCACAGACGAGGACGCCAATTTCAGGATCGGAACAGCAAGACAGGCGTTCATTAACCTGAAACTAGTGTGGAGATCTTCCGCAATCAGCACAAAGAACAAGATTCAGGTTTTCAATATCAACGTCAAAACAGTGCTTCTATGTGATGGTTGAGAGACTTGGCGCATTACGAAAGGGATTTCCAACAAACTACAGACATTCATCAACAACTGCCTACGCTGGCTTGTTACTGAAGATGAGATAGATTGCCAGAAATAATAAGCAGCAAGGAACTCTGGCCTACCAACGTACCAATCAAAAACCTATCGCTCAACAAATATGCAGAAGAAACTGGAAATGGATTGGGCATGCACTGAGAAGACCATTTGGGGAACGTCACACGCCATACCAGTCTCTCGAGTGGAACCCAGATGGGAAACGACGAGTTAGATGTCCGTGACGAGGTTGATATGGAGGAGATCATGTGAGGAAGAAATGAGAGCTTCTGGGCCGTCATGGAGCCAGATCGAAAAGACTGCAGAGAACAGAGTGGAATGGAGACGTGCTAGTGAGGCCCTATGTTCCACTAGGAACGCAAGGGACAAATAATAATAATATTCCAGAAAGTATTTTAGGCGAATAGCATCAATTGGACAGAAACGGCGTATATGTTCACAAGTCTTTCTACCTCGTACCAGGATACGAGCTGAATACGATTTTGTAAAGTCTACATACTTAGCAGTAGTATGTGGCTGAAGTTTTATGTACTTGCTCCTTACCTTTCCTGATGATCAACACATAGAGACAGTTTTTGAGTGAAGAGTGATATTGATCATCTGATGAAATAACTCCTACCAGATGTTGATATGAGTTAAAGATGTTTGTCCACATTAGTTTGAATTAGACGATTTAGGGGTACACCATCATTAGTTCTACGCAATACATCAGCATAGTCTTTTTTCAACAATTGAGGAGAATAGACAAGATGCTGCAGGAGGATGGGGAAACGTTCGAAGAGAAACACATTCACACACACACACACACACACACACACCGAGGTGAATCCCATTTGTAACATTCTCTAATGTTGCATAACCATCAATAGAACGAGAAGCATAAAATTTCATCTCTTTCCATAAGTTATGTTCATGTCTAAAAGTTAAGAGATTAGATTTCTTTCCCAGCTATTGTTACTCCTTGTCATTAGAGACCAGTCTCTGTAAACAGTAATCTATGTATCAATCGTCTACACTTCTTTTTTATAATCAGTTACTTTACATAAAAAGACATTAACTCATTTTACGTTTAGTTAGAATTTGTTATCATATATGTCTCTACTCTTGACACTTTCTTTTCAATAGAAATTTTGTACTCTACGTAATGTAATGCTTGGTCATGCATTCATATACTTCCTTACAAACCGATTGAATTCACAGATTATTCTACAAACTGCATGGAATGGTGGAAAAGTAAGTGTGTGTGTGTGTGTTTGTTTCACTACTATTCACTGTCTGTATACGCTGTCAGCTTTTCAGTAATTATTGGAGTTCAGCCGTCTTTTTGTCAGGTAAAGATGCATCAACCAGTAGACAGTGGGAACTGTGTAGTTCATTGAGTTATGGAGATTGACCATCAACTGTTTGAGTTATGGGTTCAAACTCCACCCCCACCCCCCACTTTCAGAGGTTTGAGCAGCCTTAACAATACTGGTGTGTTGATCATTGTCTACTACAGTGCGAAAGTGCACAAGGTAGCTGAATGCTGTTCGTTTCGTTAGGGACATACATAAACACACAGCGAGAGATAAGCTTAAAAAGAACCATATTCCTTAGGCCTCCCGTAGTGCTTCTAGGAATTTTACCTAAATTCTGAGGAGTGAGTGTCAAATAAATTGGATTCGCTATTCGATGTTATAACATTTTGATTAGTATAATCAGACTGTACAACTGACTCACTCACAAACCAGTAAGCTGCATTATTATTATTATTATTGTCTACCTTATTACATGTGAGATTTTATAACCGTGGTCTGCCCCTAAAGTTGTACTGATGGCTGGACTCAATGTAACAGCAGTTAAGTAGGTCCCGTGGATGACCAGCAGTACTGTTCGTCGATTCTTTGTCTATAGAAAATGGGGAAGGGTGTCCCCCAATGTAGCACACTTCTTCCTGTCCCCTAAGTCTTGTATTCTAGCTTTAGAGCAGCCAAGTCTTAAAAGGGTGTTTATGACAGTCCTCAAACAGCTATTTCATAGGCTCTTTGGTCACATGAATCTTTTCTTTCCTAAATGTGAACAGCTGGGGAGTGTCAACCATCCATTTTCTCTCAGGGAAGGCAACATTAGCACGAAATAGTTGTCATCCGCGAGAGAACTACTTCACAGCTGCCACGCTGTGTACAAGCTGTCAGTATGATTTCACCGATGAATCACAGCTGTAGTGCAGTAATCTGTTGGTAGTAATTTTCGTTTGATTTTAATACTGGATCAAGTTAATGATCGGTCCCTGTTGGCATATGGGCTTGTCAAACGGATGTCTCACTATCGCCTCAAGTTTGAATGTGATACATTTACTTCCTACAATAGCCAGTCGGGGAATCTGTGGTGTACATTTCGCCTTACTTGGGAATCATTGGCTTCAGGTTGCGCAACAGGTGGCCGTCTTAGCCGGGGGGATAACGCTCTGGTATTTGATACGATGGCTACTTGGGGGTTGAAGTGTCAGTCGAATACAAGTAAATATTCTAATTAGCATGTGATGTTCGTCTTGTATCCCACTACTAGTCAACAACAGACAAAAGTGTTTGTCTATCAAAATGAAGATAAACGTGATAATAGTAGGAAATAACAATCCTATTACAACCCATCTTTACTCCTACAAATATTCCTAGAAATGTAGTTCAGTAGTTATCTGGTAAATATGACTTTCTTGTTCTGACCACCTTTACCCTACTATATTGAATCATATCTTGGCTTTATGCATGCCAAATAAGATTTACAGCCTATGATTTTCATTTTATGGACTCATTGTGACCTAAGGCGGACGTCAGCCATCCACGGGGGGGGGCGGGGGAGGGAGGGAAAGGCTTACAATGGCTAATTTGCGTTGTCTCAATTGTCTGGTTGATTTCATCGAGATGTTGCTTGAATACACTTGATGATATGAATAAAAATTGTGTTACAAAGTGTTGAATATTTCTATTCGCCTACATGTATGTTTACGCTCCACCTGTTCCTCCCACTCCCCCTTATCTACATTTATGTTGTATGCTATTTGTCAATTTAATGTAATTAACACTAGTCAGCCTGGCAACTGTATGTTGATGAATTCTGACTTTTATGCCATAGTGATATAGCAAACAGTTTCAGTTAGTTGTTGTATACCAATAACTTAATCATCATGAGCGATATGACTGGCATCATCTCTTCAAGACATGGTTTATATAGTTCTAAGCCTTTCCCCTTCTTTCCAATATGCATTGTAAGAATTTCTATATATCCCGAACAGGTATTAACTCATTACTGTTGCTACATGCATAAGGTGTTGATTCGATAAAAACAGTCAGTTATCAATCTCTCTTTTCATCCTGAAATGTTTATTTTAAGAATTTTCATCCTGTCTCACCCTATTACGTAGTGTTTTTTAATTACATGCATAGCTAGCTATGAATGAGCTTTTCTCCGAATTGCTTACGTACCAACTTTTGACCTGGCTTGGTTTTTGTCCTTGGATAGCCTAACTAACTGACCATGAATACTACTGGTCAACTACTTGACCTAGGTATTTGACAACCCCGCAGTCGTTGCAACAGATTTGGTAAACATGTTCCATCAATAGCATCTTTTAACCTTAGAAATAAGGTTAAATCCCAATCTAATCTGAGCCAGTCTTCCCAAACAAACTAACTTCTAAATCAATTTACATGGGTAATAGGTGATAAGTAAGGTGTCTTTATTCAATCCAGTCTCTTGTCTGACACCTTCTGTTCTACTAGTAAGTTTTCTCATCCTGTTACTCAGACATTGGATCTAACCCCCTTTCCTTACCAAGTCAACTGACCCAATGTGAGGTGATTCGAAGACTAATCATATCTTAAAGTTATCTCAGTATGACTATAGATATTAAATTGTTTCCCAAAATATAATCCACTAAATAACAACACTCAGTGGTTTACGGAAATGACTACCAATCATTGGATCGCGGTTTCGAACCCGGTCTCACCACCTAGCGATGATGTTTCGCCAACCAGGTAGTACTATCACTAGCACTGACACAAACACACACAATACAGGTGTGGCTCATTGCCAATTGTACGGATGTGTACTAGGTTGTTGACTATACTTCATGAGTTAGAGGTTTCTTTACAGACCAGGGCAATCAACGTATGAATAAAGACTACATTGAGAAGGACAATATCAAGACTATTCCTTAAATAACACTTCTGATATAGAAAGTCATGCTTGGAATAACTTCACAGGAGATAAGTAAACTGAGTCATGGTTAGGGTTAGGGTGATGTGATGACTTCACTTGCTTAGAGTTACTTTTTTTTCCCCTAGTTAGTCGATATCATTCACAGAAGTTCTGTTAACCTCAGAGAAATGCGGATATAACATGTATTGTCAGTCATTAGTCTTTCTTTAAAGGAAAACTTATCATTCCGTATACTAGAAAAATTAACAAACTGCAAAACATTTTATCAAGCCAACTATGACTGACACCAGGGTGAGACAACTTGAAGTTGTCTTGATTATGACTATGTACGATGAATTGTGTCTGAAACCACCACGAATGGGAAGATGAAAAAGAAAAAATTCAGCCAAAAGAAATATAAAGTACGAAAAGAAAAAAACGAGGGATGAGAAGGTAGGTGGTGAGATTCGGTATAGCTTCGTTAAGATGAGGATAATATGTGTATACATCTGCCCCCCCTACTAACAATGTTTTCCAGCCATGTGATCGCCTAAGAGTCTCCAACCACTCACTGGTTTCTCTTGTCCCATGGACTGACCCCAACCACCTAGTCTGGATCACCCCACATGGCTTAAACCAGCAATCAAAGACAGCATGCATTGGTGCTGTGTTTTAGCCTGGCCACTTTGGGTTATTTTCCATTCTGAACCTACTTCGACCAACATTGTACTACGAGGCGGACGGCGACTAGGCGTATATAACATATGTCGGAATCAACCATCTCAATCGATGAAAGTTTACAATCATGTCTATTGACTTACCTCTTCTTCCTAAAACTCTACACTTGACTTCTGCATATAATAAAGTGTTTGTTGTATCGTTTCCTGGCTCTCTACCACTACCATCCCTCTATTTATTTGCAGTTGTTTCCATCTTTTTGGAAACTGTTTTTTCTGTTCATCTTGACGTCGTAGGGTTGTAGTGTATCCACATGCAATTTCAGACAATCTGGTCTCAGATACATTTTGTATTTTGCCTACACTGATGATCAGTCGTGACGCAATTATAAATTACTTTGATGAGTAGTTACTTTACGAAGTAGGCATCCCTCCCACTGGATAGATGGTCACTTATTGTGGGATTCAAGAGACTTTCATTTCGTTATACCTCAGATTCGTCAGCTGCTTATTGTATTCGCAAGTTGTGACGATATTGAAGCTAGCCTAATCTCTCGTGGATTTCAAGCAAACCCTTTTCTACACTCACTGTTACCACATTTCTGAACTACCGATTTGTATCCCTCATACTTTAGCAAGTAAATATACCTTTATCGGGTTGCGGGGGAAGGTCCTTGAGGCGTCTCAGGTCTACTTTTAAAATCCTTCATTAAGTTATAATGGGGGGGGGGGAGCGGTTAATCAAGAGTTACTCTTTTCAGCGATATCATTCTCCAGTTGTACAATCGCTTACAAATATTAGTTATATTCACATGGTAACAAGGAAGCAATGTTTTATAAAGTATTTTTGAGTAAAATTCAGTTTTAACTATAAACCAAGAGATCAGAAAAAAGAGGATCATGTAACATTTGAAGTAGTAATACATTATACCAGGACCAAAGCAATATTTTGTTACCAAATGGAATGATGTAATATTGTAGTAGGCGTTGTTGATTAGGATGGATATGAGTAGTATATGTTGAGAGGATGGCAGAAATCATTGGAAATTACCAGCAATGAGTAAAGATTCCACCAAGAGACAAGGCAGGCGTACAAAGAGCAAACCAATGAAAGAAGCGGAAGAGGGAATGAAGCATATTTTGCAAATGATGACTACTGTCCCACTTGTTGGCATTAAACTTTCCTTACTGCGCATACCTGTCTCCTTCGTTCTTTTAATATGACTAAAGGAATTGGTGAATATGATGAAAAATCAGGATTCAAGGGTAACACAGAAGGATGTGTTGTGTACGAAGATGTGAAGGAAAATTATTTGAGCATTTATCTATGAGGTGTTCTTCTTTCTCCTGTGTAGAACCACTAGGCTAGTAGTATATCTT